TGAACAACCTTTTTATGATTATGGATCAGTGATCAATAGATCTGTAATTTTTCGGTCTCCCTCTTCCGCTACAACATCGTTTTTCGCTAAATGCATTTTACAAGCCATTGTGTTCCATCACTTTCCAAATCCAGGCTCCCAGTGTAGGTATTCCGTGTTAGTGATATTAGTGGGTGCATCGCTCCCTCCCCATCGTCCGTCTCGCAATATCAAAATCCTGTTGTACTGTAAAGAACAATTCTTTTGAACGTTTGCTCAAACTTTCCTGGACAAAGAGGAAATGTTTGTCGAAAGGAGAAATTCCTAAATATTACGTCTAATAGTATTTGTCGGATGTTTGAAAGTGATCAAACTGTTTTTTGGAGCATTGGCATTTCCATGGAACTGTCTACCTCTGCATACGTTTGTTTGCAGATATTTGTTGGATGTTTGAAAATGATCAAACTGTTCTTTGGAGCATTAGCATTTCCATGGAACTGTCTACCTCTTGAATGCATTTATTTGAAGATATTTGTATTTGTAGCTAACTGTGCAATTGTAATAGTTTATGTGTGCGTTGCTGCTGCTTTCATGAGAGTACTGTTGAGGATGAATGTGTGTGCATGTGTGTACAAGGATGTGTATGCATACATGCATACATACATGCTGGTATTCCCTAGACGTATGTATACATAGTGTATGATGTATGTATAAAAGAGGAAGAATTAGCCTGACTGACAAACTCCAAACTTTACAGGTTGTGCAAAGACTGAGAATTTATTGCAAAAGCCAGTAACTTTCTAGTATTCCCTCAAAACTGTTCAAGAATGGTTTGGGAATTTTGACACGAGTCAGTCGATTGTGCTATACTTTGTGGTAGCACAATTCATTATATGAGCAAGGTGTCTGCTTTGGAATAACATTTGAAGTATTTGTAGTGTACAAAGCTGAAATACCTCTAACATGTAATCATTTAAACATAACATTCCTCGTTAGATGAGCAGCCTGCAGGCTACCACTGCAACACGCGAAAAAGCAAAATCGATGAGCAGGACATTTTGCTCATCTTGACAATGATCACCGGCGGAGGTCGCATATTAGTGATACCCACGGAAAATTAATTACACGATCACTCAAGCTACCCTGGAGGGGTGGTACAAAACAAGCCGAACAAGCAGTGGGTACAAACTGGAGGCACCGATCGAAGGGTTCGGCATAATAGCTACGTCCATGTTTGGAGCATCCCGTAGTTACATTACTGACGTGGATACCCACACTGATAACACCAGCGGCTTTAATATTTTGATATCATTAATTCAAAACATTTCTAATAATTAGTAAAAAGAAATGGCTGGCGAATATGGGGCAGTAACAAGTAGCGCTATTGTCGTGGTGCTGCAGGTCGAGGATGAGACTTCGCCACTGGAACAGCCCGGCTATGACCCGTTCACACTTGTTTCGATACTAAACTGGTTCAGCTTTTTCCTATAATTTATTTGTGGCATCCCCATTTTGCAGTTCACTCACTTTCCAATTAGAAATATGCAATTACTGACAAAAACTGAAGTTTCTGTTTTTTTAGCAGCCATCCCTTAAGCTGTTGCATCATCTTGCGAATAGCAGTTACGAGAAGACGTTTTTGAAATTTCAGGATCCGATCCGCAGCATTATCCATTACTAAAATCATCATCAGACAAGCAGCAGCGAAAGCGGTATTACCGAAATATGGGTGAAGGGGACCGGAAAGGATTAGTGGCAAGCCTACGGGCCTATCCACCAGGTGTATTTTTTATGCTCGGCAATGAATTTTGCGAACGATTCAGCTTTTACGGTATGCGAGCAATTCTAATGCTCTACCTGATCACCGAACATCACTTCAAGGAAAGGTTGTACAGTCTTAATGAATTCAGAAAATTAGTTTGTGAGGCTTTTGTTTTTAACACTGTCAAACAGAAATAATCTGAAATTTGCAGCTTTTTAAAGACGTATGTTTAGACTTTCAAATTTGCAAGTTTCAAAAAAAAAAAATTAACTGAATGCGGCTGCTAAAACTAAGATATAAATTGATCCTATTCATTTACTTGCTTACCCATCCACTTAATTAGTCTAATACGTTAATCAGTGCTGTTCGTGTAGTCAGTCTTCAATTGTGCAGATGGCAAATGACTCATAATTCAAACAGCGCGAAATTTTTTACTGCGAATCCAACTGCGAAGAGGTTTAACAGAATTAGTTTAAACGCTAGGTAACGCGATATTATATCGAAACATCGAGCAAGTCGGTTCGAATCTGACACACTTAGTACTAATGAAACCCTAAAAACAACATTCCTGGGATAGCTGTCACTTCATACTTCGCTTCACCGCTTGTGCATCCGGTAACTTTTCCTTTTGCTTTGG